CTAAGGTCGATATGGATATACCGACACTACTAAAACCTAAGAGCATTCCAAACAAAATCAGCTCTTATTAAAGACAGCGTATAGATTTCCGTGCTTAACCTTAGCAACTCGAAAAAAGGATTCAGCACCTTCGGACGTACTAACAAGCTCCTTAAATCCTTTAACAAGCTACGTATCGACAAAAGAGATACAAAGGATATAAGAATCGCTAAGAGCGTGCTTAAGAGTACGGATATCATTAAGCTAAAGCCTTAGCCGGTGACCCGAATAGCTTTAGCGATCTTAACGATGACCGACGAAAAAGGAACAAGAAAGATTAGCAAAGAGATCGAGGCTACGGATGCGGAGAAAGTAAAAACGGCCCTTTTAGACTATTAAAAGGATTCGGAAACGGACCTTTAAAGGACTCCGGATTCGGAAATGAGCTTTTTAAAGACTTTAAAAGAAGACGGACCACCGGCAACTATATCGGTAACTCTTTACCGATCAGACTATTAGCTAAGCAAAGCACGCTTGCGTACGGCACTTTAAGCGCTTTTAACGATGATAAAAACGATTTCCTTAAGCTAAAGGCAGCAGACCCTTACTTAAAAGCGAAGGAATTGGCTTTGTTCGCGCGAAGCTTTCTTAAAGAGCTAAAGTATTCAAGACTCGACGATAACTTTAAAACTCAATTAAAGATTTTTGCTAACTAAGCAAGTCGATACGGTTTGACCTCCGAAGACTATTTAGCGGCGTTTTCGATTATGCTTATAAAGGAAGTTATAACCTTTTATTATAATTACGTTATCAAGGCCAAGCTTTCGACTTTCAAAGCAAACGCTATTGTAGTAAAGGACCACTTCGAGACTGACTACCGGCGGCAAGCAAAATACGACCGCTGAAAAGAAATTTCGCTAGATTTAATCAAGAAAGAAAATCCAAGGACTTCGCTTAGCGAGTGCTTTAAGAAGCTCGTTAAAGAGCTCAAAGGGATTTAAGGCTCTTTACGACCAGGTTTAAGAGACGATCGAAGTCTTGCTAATAAGCTGTATTCAGCTTGTAAAAACGTATTAAAGATTACGATTGCGCGAATGAACTTTGCTTTTACTTTTACCGCCGCAGTTGCCGATATTCGCAGAGCTATTGCGTTTGCAACTAAGACCTTTCGACCTTCCGCTAAAGCAAGTAGAGCTTACGCGAGCTCTAGCGAGCTATACGATCACACTTGCTCTTATAACACTTTAAAGGCTGACTCCGATTTAAACGAAGAATACGAATGCTTTATTTAAGACCGCCAATACTTCGGAGGTAAGAAAGCTGCCAAAGCTATTATTAAATGTTGTGCGGAACAGGCATGGTTCCACCCAAGCTACATGTGACATGTCATGTGACCTCGCCTAGTAGCGCCCTTGGCACACTGGAGCTCCCAGGTACATGTACATAGATCCTGACGAGCTTCCTAGATAGAAGATACCAAGCTTCATTCAATCCACAGAATCTCTTCCTGATCTTAGTGCTGGTAAGCACTACATTAAAGGTAAGAAAAGGTGTTTTGTTTGTAAAAAGCCAAGTTGCTAGAGCACTAATTACACTTTCGACGAAAGAAAAGCATCCGTCGCCAAGTTCTAAGCTTTTAAAGACGCAAAAAAAGTAACGAAAAGCAAATTCTTTTAATACGTAATATCGATCGAAAGCTTGCTACTTGTATCTACGAAAGAATTCGATTAGTTTATCGCAAGCCTATTAGACGAGCCGCTCGAATCGAGCAGCTACGCTAATATATTAGAAGGTTTTATGATTACTTACGGCACCTTTAACGCTAACGAAGTATATAAACAACTAAAGATTCAAACGGCATTCTACGCTTTTACTAGCTAAGTAGAGACTTAAAAGATGCTCGAGCAAAATCCGCGTGTGCTCGCGAGTAAAGCAAAGACTTATATAGCTTTTAAGTACTCGGAAAACGTATTTATAAGCTTCATAATTAATAATAGAGCAGCTAATTTCTTTACCGCTAGCTTGCCTTAACTACGAGCATTTTAAAAGAGATACTTCGAGGTTTAATTAGATATATCCCGAGCAAAAGAGAAGTCTGTTAAATACGGTATCGGCTCTACTACTTCGATTAAAGCAGTTATTTTAAAAACACTTTTAAGTTAAGTAGAGTTCTACGTTATAAAGAGCGACGTACTTTTTTTAGTCTCATTAGCTAATATAAATAAGCATAAAGTGATCTTAAATAACTTGCGGAACGTATTAGTTTAAAGAAAAAAAGAAATACTAGTAGTAAGGATATTTAAGCACGTGTAGATGCTATTGAGTAAAGAGCACGCTGTTACTTATTACAATACCGAAGGCGAGACCGTTTACTATCACTTTACGAAAGAACAATTAAGGATTATTTATAAGCGTTTTGGCTACTCTTTAGCAGATCGATTTGCTGCTGTTTTTAAAAGGGCCGAGCACGAATTTAAGCGAGATTTACTTTATAATATCTAAAAGTTTTGCTATTATTACTAAGTATTCGGACGCTTTTCGAAGAGGTTTAGTATTAGACTCAAGGACGATATTGACTTTAATAATACGGTATACGTAGACGTAATGCACTTTAACGGCAAGAACGTATTATACGTCGTTTGCGATTTTATTAATTTTCAAGCCGCTACTTTCTTTAAAAGCATGTCCGCATAGCACTTACTTAAAGGATTTAGTCGATGTTAAGTTAATACTTACGTCGGACCTTTTATAAATGTAATGTACGATCCCGGAACTAACTTCAATTCGGCAACGTTCCGAAGCTACTTTAAAAGTATTAGCAGCAGTTTAAAGCAGATGCTTATAAAGGCTTATCATAGCGTCGGACTAATGGAACGCTATTACGTCCTTGTGCGACGCGCTTTTAAGATCGTTATAAAAGAGCTTTTAAAGGCCTTAAGAGAAGACCGGCTTTAAATAGCTATTAAAGCCATCAACGATACAGCTGGACTTAATGGCTTGGTTCTTATACTTTTCGTTTTTAAGACTTTATTAAAGCTGACGGAACAAGATCGACTTGCCGCGTTTATTTAAGAACGTGCTATTGCTATTAACAAAGCTATAAAGGAAGTACGAAAATGCTACGCAGCGAGGCAGGTTAAGGACGCGCTTAAGAAAAGGAATGGACCAATTACGGAGCATACTTTAGACCTTTTTATTAGTTCACGGGTACTCGTATAACGAGAAAATCAAAGATAGAAAGGCCTTTTTTAACTGCTTAGCAAGCAAGGGCACACGTGCATAATGGCATGTCCGAAGCTTACGGAATTCAGGTCAACCTTAATAAAACCTTATTACTTTGAAGTTGAAAAGCTGCTAGAAGAGTTGCAAGTATTTAAAGTAGAAGTAAAAGAAAAGGTAGAAGAAGATTAAAGCGAAGGCGAAAAAGAGTTGGAAATACGAAATTCGCTTAAACTTTAACACTCGCTTAATCTATCGAAGTCGCTTAATCTAAGAAGCTCGCCAAGATTAGTAAACAGCTTTTTTAACTCTTAACTTGCTAATCTTTAAAAGTCAACAATACCGATGGTTTAAATACTTTATTAAAAGTACAATCTTAGTATCTCGATCGTGCTCGACGAAGAAGAAGGCGATTCTTACGTTTTATTTATTAAGGACTCCGAGGTGTTTGTTATCGATAAAAAACGCCGAGACTATAAGCTTTTAGCTAAGCTACGAGCCGAAGGAATCATTAAGAGCTCCGGGGCATCGTTTTAAGAGTTTAAAGCAAAGGAATTAGCAAGATTAATAGCTTAAAGCATTCTTTAAGTGATCTCGGGCACTGATTTACGTGTTAAAAGCGCTAAGATCTTTAGATTTAAGTTTGTTAATAAGATCAAAGGCAAGAGAATACTTACGCTATACGAGAAGTCTCGTATAATGGTCTAAGCTTTTTAAGATAAAGGCAAGACGAGGGTACTTATCGAGTCACTTACGGTGCAGCGAGCGGGCTAAAGACTCTGTTGTGCTCTAGCTCTTTCTTTAATAAAAGATTATAAGTGTTAAGTTTGTAGCAAGGATATCACTTAAGCTTACACTTAATCAAGCATAAAGCTTATTTGAATAATCGTCGTGCGACTACTTAAAGAGATTACTTATCGATTCCTTTTCGGCACTTTGTTCTTTATGACTAGCTTTTTGTATAAGATCTTCGAAGCAAGAACGCATTAGTATAAGCGTTTTTTAAAGCATTTTACGGACAACCTCGAGATAAGGCAATCGAGTTTTGATTCTTGCTTCTTTATGTTAATTAACAAAGATCAGTTAAGAATAGCTGCTTTACAGACGGATGATGTTCTTATAGTTGTTAATCCAGCTATAAAAGCAAAAGAAAAGAAAAAGCTGGTCAAATCTAAGCTAAAGAACAAAGAAATAAAGATCTTTACACACGCCGAGCTAATGATTTTCAATAGATGCAAGCTATCTTTAGATAAAGACGGGTTCGGATTATCAGTTAAGCAAAAAGGGCAAGGTAAAAGGCTTGCAGTGATCAAGCTCGATTCAGCTATACGAGTTAAAGAGTACTTAGAGCAACGTGCTCGAAAGGCGTATTTGACTACTATTTGCTACTTAAAAGCATCTTGCGTTTTATCGATAGCCGCTTAGCATTAAGAACCGAAGGACGAAGACTATAAAGCTTTTAATAAAGTGATCTAGTAGTTGATCGATCACTTAACTCGAAAGATCTATTACGTGCTTTTAGACTTGAAGACTGCGAAGCTCTTTGTGTTCGTAAACGGAGCGTTTGCTAATAACGCTGACTTTAGCTCTTAGATCGGTTTCGTAGCTATCTTTAGCAATAAGGTTTACGTAAGTGAGAACGAGTTCACTTTAACGAGTAACATTTTATATTAAGTGTTATAGAAGTACAAGAGGGTGATAAGAGCAGTATTAGCTTTTGAGTTATACGCGATGTCCTTAAGTATCGATATAGCTATTGCTATGTCGACTACTTTTGCTTAAATCACGGCTTAGCTAAGAATCTTTAACTTCTTCGTAGTCGTGTGCACTGATTCTTATTCGCTCTACGAGTGCATAGTAAAACTAAAGACCATTAAAGAGAAGCGTTTAATAATCGATATTATAGTTATTCGAGAGTCATACGAAAGGCGAGAGCTCTTTGAGGTACGCTGGATCGGAAGCAAATCTAACCTTGCTAACGCTATGACTAAAATCGAAGCCAATATCTTTTTGCAAGAGCTAGTTTTAACTAATACCTTAAAGGTGCAAGTCGATAGATAAGTGGAAAAGCCGTTGTAGAAGGAAAAAGGAGATTGTTTTTCTTTTGTTTAATTACTTTCTTTCCTTTTTTAGTCGATATAGTAGTTAGCAAAGCATTATTTGCTAAAAAGAGAGTTGCTAGTATCGGTATATTTATATCGACTTTAGCTAGTAGTAGTAGTAGTAATAGTAGTTAGGGAAGCTCATTCGTGAACTATGGTTCACGGGCCATTTAGCATGCTTCGCTTAGCATATTAGCAGTCAAGGGACCCTTAACTTGACAAGTAAATCTATTAGCTAGCTAGTGCACGTGATTCCTTCTAATCGTATAAAAGGAATCAGCTCTTTTAAGCCTTAAGGAGCAGACAGAATTGAGATACCTTATCAACCGAGTGTTTTGCAATTGCAAGTACTTTGACGACCGTTACGACCTTACGAATATATATTCCCAATCGCTTGGAAGCAATTTAACAATTTGTTTACTGCGTTTCCACTTTTATTGCTACTTTTGTTTCTTTTTTTATTATTCGCATTCGAGTTATTCGAGTTCGAGTTTAAGTTTAATTTATTACCGTATAAAGCTTGACCGTTAATCGTCTTAATTGAGTCGCTAATTCGAGCTTCGTCGGTGATATCTTTAATTAAAGATTCGAAAGTGATTTCTGCTTTTTTTTATATAATAATCGCTATCCGTAAATTCGATCTTTAGCGCTTAGCTTAAATAAGCTATTTCTTTAAGCAAGCAGCGATAAATATTACGGGATTCTATTATAAGAGCGGCGCAATATCTAGCGAATCAAGCTTCGTAATTGCAATCTTGAATGTTATCACGAACTTCTTTAAAAAAAAGTAATCGTCGTATTTAATTATAACATAAGTCTAAATAACGTTGTATTTTAAGACTGTACTAAAACCTTTATACTAATGTCGTAAAGCCTTTTATATATCTAAAGTAGTAGCTTTACTTTGTATGTGTTTAAAAAGACTAGTCTTGCAATTCAAAGTAATTGCAAGCTTCATTTATGACTCTCCGGTATCTTAATCTAGCTATTTTTGCAAGTCTTTTATCTTAATTATATCGTCGTATTCGTCGACTTTTATAAGTATCAAAGACCTAGACTTTAAATTAATGTATTTACTAATCTTATTAAACTTAGCAATGTTAATCACTTTATCTTTCTATTGCTAATAGTTCTCACTTTTTTTTAGCTTTAAAGCTTCGAGTAAGTTGAAGCTATAGCTCGAACTTATTTTCTTTCGACGTATAAGTATAATCGTAATAAATAGTTCGTCAAATAGACTCGGAAGACTCGAAAGAGAAGAAGGTTCGTTGTCGATTAAGCGCACTAGCGACTTAAAGATCTTCTTTAAGAGAGTAATAAACTCGTCTTTATTAAATAAAAAGAGTTCACTTTTATTAGCCTCGCGGAAGAAAGATTAAAAGTATACTTTAAGTAAAGTTGCTGCTACGTATAATAAACTTCTTACGTCTAGTAGCGTTAAGTAGCGCGATTGAGAAAGTGATAAAGAGATTTTAAGTTCAAGCATCAATAATAGTTTCTTTAAAGCAAGCAGTTCTTTTGCCGCTTTTCTTCTCTTCGTAATAGTATATTGCTATATAGTTAAGTTTGCTTTAATTGCAGCTTCCTTTTGCTTCTTGCTTAAAGAACCGCTAAGTTCGGCTTTACTTTTCGCTACACTAGCAAGTTGCAACTAAGAATCAATTGCGACGAAAAGTGCTATGGAAACGCGTTTAAAAGAATCGCGCGCTACGATAACGAATTATTAAAAGGTAAGTATTCTAACACATCGAAAAAAGGTGTTTAAAGTCTAGAAATACTTTAGAATGAATTGAATCAGGCTTCGAGGCTTATAACTTATTGCTAGTATCAATCTGATAATAGTACTATATTACGAAAAAGCTTTGCTGATGTTGTAGTTGATTGACTTGTATTATTTAAGACTAAGAATTGAGGGCGAGGTTGTAGTGAGAGCATGCCAAGGCTGAGGTGTCCGTGCACTGTGCACGGACTACGCTCTCACTTTACACTTTACCTAGCAACAATATATCTTCAAGGTATGATTGTCCCGCTTGAGACGGAGTAAAGTACGGTGTACAAAGATGCTGGCGGTAGAGTATTATTTAGCAGGGAGGGGGGATGGTGGTATTACCTCCCAGGCGTAATACCTACCGCCTGAGGGTTAAGAAACCAGGACCTTTGAAGTGGAGAAGGGGGAAGGGGAGAGGGAGTGGAAGTGACAAAGAAGAACTGGCTCTTGGTATGTCTGCCTTCATGTAAAGCATCTCCTACTACGGCATCGCTGCGTCTGTAATGTGCCCGGAGAGGCGCAAAGCTATCGGCACTCTTCAGATATCCAAGTTCTATCGTCACAAACCTCGTCTCAAAGCTCAGATGATCGATCGATCACGTCCTTGGCAGGTTTAAAAACTCCCGAATTCCACTATTACTGCGCAGTGTAGATAATCGGTTTAGTGTTCCACTTGTTGCGTTTGCATTTATTACTGGCTAATACTAGATAATGTATACTCCCGAGGAACATAATTCCACCAATTTCCTCGGCTAGCAGATATCCCTGAATATCAATTGTACTGAATATGGAGGAATGTAAAAATGCCATGCATCAGCCTTCTTGTAGCGACTCGAATCTAAACATTCTCAATCCCACCCAATATAACCCTCCCATTCTCCTTGTTGTCCGCCGCTCGTATGCTGGCTTGTGATGCCTTTCTCATTGAGAGTGACGCAGCCCTCGATGGTGAAGATCTGGCTGGCTCGTCTTCATCGTCAATGACTTTTGACGCAGCTGGCGTGACAACTCGCTGCCTCTTGGTACCGCTGTTGGTTGTGGCGAAAGGTTGGCTTACCCTGCGCATAGGGTTCTCCAGGCTAGCGGAGTTTGATGCTGTTGTTGCGGGAGGTGTGCTAACCGTGTTGACTTTAGAAGGCAATTGATGACTAGGCTTTCGGATGGGCTCTACGATGCTCTGAATTGGGCTATCCGTGACGAATGGCAAGCTAACTTTCCGAGTGGCATTTTCATTACCAACAGGATTGAGGTCAGCCACCACCAAAGGGAAGGGTGAATCCAGGATGTTCTCCTTCCTGCTCTTGATGTTTGGGCCAGCTGTTTTTGGGACAACGGTAGAAGAGGGCTGTCGCGTACCCATATTCGGTGTATTTACTGGGGCAGATGGGAGCAAAGCTTCGCAGAGGGATTCAAAAGCGCCGGGCATCTGGATACTTTCGTAACGTCCATTCGTCTTCTCATACTGCATTGGATCCGATACCTGGCGGCTGCTGACAGTACGTGTATTCGAGTTCGTGTAGTCGGGCATAGAAGTGTCGGATTTGGATGCTTGACGCCAACCAGAGAAAGCTGGGTTACCTGCCTCAACGAATGGATCAAAAGTAGACTGTTTGGGAAAAAGAGGTGGTGGTGGCATGGTGCCCATTGTTGTGGCCGAAAAAGCCGATTTGAAGTTGAGAGGCTACTCAGATTTCAGTAAGTCGTTCAATCGAAGTCCCAGGAACATAGCTTGGATTCGGATTTCATTTTCAGATGTACAGACCTGTCCATGTCGCGGAGAGTGGCTGTGGGCCTCGACATCACTTCCTTGGCGAGGGGAGAACTGTTGTCCAAAGTATGGTCCCATGTGGGAGACTTGGCGCCACATGCCAGCGTTTGGCCAGGCAATAGAAGAGGCTTCAAGTACATCTAGAATGGGCAAGGGATATCAGCACTACGTCCAACGACTGTCCAGGCAATCCTCCAACAGGATTGTTAAAGTTCGCGAGACGGTCATTGACTTACCGAGAGGAGCATGTTGGAAAGAAAATGCAACGACGTTCTTGATGCGCTCGAACGGATAGGCCATCTGCTCTCGAGAAAAGCCTTCCGCGATGATGACTTTGACGCGGCCAAGGTCATCACCCGGGTTCCAGTAGCTTTGTGAAAGAAGCTCCTTGTGAAAGGTTGGGAACTTGAGTTTTTCAAACTCGCCATGCTTGTCCAAATCTATAGGTTGTCAGCAGATGAACTGACTGACCACATCAGATAGCTCATGGGAACGGGAGCTTTCATACCCATACTGAGCTCGATGATGGTGGGCCATGGACCCGTCTGATGAAACCATTTGGACCCAGCGAGTCTTCCATCAATAAACAGCCGGGCTTCAAACATTATAGTATCGCCGGTCTTCTTCAAAGACTGGACATAGCGGCTGATCTCTGGGTTCTGCCAGCAATGGATAGATACACGAAAAGCAGCTCCTGCAGCGATGCCTGGAACGAAGGATGTAACCGTAGGAAGGAGGAATGGATTAGGCTGCAGATTTTGTGCTTCTGCGTTCTGATCAGCTTTTTTAAAAGCATAGAATTTTTCCCGATTGGAGGGAGAAGGTAGATGGTATGCTGACCCGGATCCTGGATGACCTGGCACGAAGTCTTGAACTCCTGTAATGGAACCTTATATTGGTCTGGGAAGAGGAGAACATCCCAGTTCTGGTAGCGCATTGCGAAAGGATGCAGGCTCGCGTATACGAAGTATCGGCGGTAAGCAAGAGCTCTTAAAAGCTGTAGCGAGACCGAAGGACGGTGTTGTCTATCAAGGAGAGAATGCAGAAGGGAAGTGAAGCTGGGTGGAAAACTGCGGTTGCAAGACGGATGCCGGGACTAGCCTACGGACACTGCCAATATCTTATTCGGAAAGGGCCAAGGGCAGAGTTTGGCGGTAAGCCACCAAAATGTGCAAAATGTAGCTGAGACACTGGACCACCGAGCAAGAAGGAGCCACCGCTCAGAATGAGATATTGCATACACTCAAAAGCTCTTTGAAGAAAGACTGTGTTCCAACCAAAGTGTATGTTCCCGACTTGACCGGTAATGTTGAGCCTTGACGTCTGCCAATATCTAGATCGCGAGTGGATCTCTCATCTCGAGCAGCCTCTCGATTCTATATTTCGATATGTCAATACCTCAGTCGACGTGAATGTACTAAAGACCATTTTGATGTTTTAAAGAGCTTGATGGAGCCACCGATCGCCTCTTAATACCAGCCCTCTCTATTTACAAATGGACCATGCGGATACCTATTCATCCCCAGGAGCTCTCGCCTAAACACAAGTCAGTAATTGGACTACCAACGGTCTCCAGACATAACCCACCCTCACTGCGTTGGGTCCACCTAATTCCCGTTCAAGTCCACCCTCAAACTCCCTTGGCGCTGACTGCTTATCCGGGTATACGGACCCAACTACAGCACAGAGACCAAGAACAGCTGCTACGAAGCAACCAATTTGGAACAGACCCTTTCCTGGCTTGGTGTGTGTGTACTCCTCGGGGGAGAACATTCCTAGGATATCATTGTCTTCATGAATCGGCTCTCCGTAGTTTCGTCGCTCTTGCTTGTCCCACCAATCTGCATGTGGATCACGGAATTGTCTCTTGATTGGGGGCGGATTGATATATCCTCCATTCTGTGAAGCCTGTCAGCCAAAACCAATGTAGAAGTATTCCTTTTGACCGACCATTCCTGGATCCTCAACATCGGTCTGCATGTGGTCATTAGCCAGAGCTCTTCGAATTATCGGCAGGATATGACACTGACCAGTTTAGGATACTCTGGTCCAGATGCTGCCTGTTGCGCCGCTCCTCGTTGTTGGAGAACTGTTCGTCGGACCACGGGAATGGAATTTCGTAGCGGGCGTGCATTTGCAATTCGCCGGGAAAGCATCTGGGAATAACGTCAGATTGTGCCTGACAGTCTCGCAACACTCCAAGCCCATACCTTGATATTTGCTGTCCCAATGGTCCTGTTTCGTCGTCCCTTTGACACAGCTCGAAATCGATTGGAGGTTGAAATGGTCGCGGTCCGCTAGCTTTGGGCTTAGTCATGCTTGCCGTTTAGGATCGCCTCAAGCACCTAAGCAATTAAATTAGTTGACGACAACCGCGAATTCGACCAAAATTGCAATTTTCGTCAAAGCAAGCCGCAACTAAGCTCTGTGAATGCTCAAATTTTACCAAGGAAAACTTGGGTCGATTGCGCATCTTCCGAAGTAATTTTCATCTTCTCAGATGTGATATTCATGAAGTTCTCGATAGTGCTTCCCCCCCTCTTCTAAGAAGCCATGTCACTGATCGCGTTGGACGCGCAAGAGGAACAAAAATTAGACGGTGTGCTATCCAACCACCAACGCGCCTATATGTAGCTAATAAAGATACCCAGGTCTTTCTACCACCAAAATTGAACGCCCTGCGAAGAGTGAACATCCGGCAGACAGCAAAGACGATGGGGAGCCCCCGAACAAGAGGCAGCGAGTCGAGGAGTTAACGCCTCTGTCCAAACAGAAGCAGAAGGACAAGTTTCCGTCACCACCATGGAAAGAGGTGAAGGCTGAAGGCCCGTCGTCCTTTACTCTGGATGGAAAGAGGAAGTCCGGCCGTACAAACCATATACCCTTCGAGCTGCAGCCTGCGTCCGGGAAAAGGCAGACAAGAGGCGCGCAGAAGGAACACTCGACCAAAGGCATGCAGGGCAACGCGAATGGGCAGAAGTCTCCATTTCAAACCCGGGAGGTACCCCCGCCGTCACCAACTGGAAGAAAGAGATCCGGCTCTTCTGGGACTCCTTCTCAGCCTCCACCGAAGCCAGCCAAACCTGCCTCGCCAAAGAGATCCCATCACCGCAAGTCTACGCCTAGTGACCAAGCAGCAGCCCCAAAGCGCTCCCACAAGAAGAAGCCCCCGAACCTAGACATACCACAACCAACGCCACAACCAACACCACAACCAACACCACAACCAACGCCATATCCTTTAACACAATCTGCACCGGCGCAAGCTCGACCGGCCAAAGGCCGCCGCTCCGGGAGGTTTGTTGAGGTATTGGACAGTCAGGAGCCTGATGGAATAACGCCCCTACCGGACGAAGAAAAAGATGTCCCTATCCCAAAGAATCCGTTTGCACGAATCAAATTCAAAGTTAAATCTGTTACTATACCTCTTACACATCCTGGACTTGTCCTGCCGCGATCTAGGCAGTACCCAACACTGAGAGAGTTCTTCGAACATGGAGCAAACATATCTATTGAGAATGGTGGGCTGTACGACCCCGACGAGCCTTCTGACTACAGCCAAGACCAAATCACCAGAGATACGGTTACGCTTTTACGCGCGGAGGAGGCTGTTCAGCCTGGTGGGATATTGAGCCCGGAGAGATGCTCTGCCTACCAACCTGAGGCAAACGATGAGATCCCTCAACAATATGCACATGCAGACCATATGACCAGAGCCGCTATCGAATTTAGAAGGCTGCTACTGATCGAGCAAAGGAAGCACAGAGCCACTGCCAAACGACTTGCAGACGCCTGCCAAATAGAATGGCGTCGTAGGCAGCCAAAGAGCCAGGCACAGATCGATGAGGAGAATTTCCTGGCCCGGAGGGCCTACTGGACGAGACTAATCACCAAGCCTCTTGATGCTATGTTCGAGAATGTGAAAGCGGAGGTCAATCGCCGACGCTTGGTGGAATGGGATGCCCAAGAGCAAGCCCGAGTCAGGAAGGCCCTCAGCCAAGCTGTCGAAATATCAACGCAAAAATTGCAAGCCCGAAGATCGCACATGGACTCAAATATAGCTTCTGACGAGGAATCGGACGGGTCTGATGCATCGGACCAAGACTCTGGGACCGATGATGGATCAAACGATGGATCAGAACAGGAAGAAAGGGACAGTAACATGTCTTCATCAGAGTCCGAAGCCGATGAAGACCAGGCTCGAATAGATGCGGTTGATGACGAACATCTGACCGTGGATCAACTTCGAGAGAAATACGCTGCACTGCCTGCTGTAGAACCTGAGCCTAAAGATGAAGAAATAGTTGATGGAGATGTGAGGCAGGCAAATGGGTCGAAACCTGACTCAGATATCGAAATGGAAGACACTCGCGATGAAAGCGACGAGTCGATTGATATGGATGACGACATGGGATCCAGTGACGAAGACAGGGACAGCGACGAGGAGGACCTATCTGGTGAAGAGGACGATGAAGACGTGGGAGAATCCTCGCTTCTCGGTTTCTTGGCCCCTTCCGAACTAAAAGCCGTCGAGCTTGGTAGTGTTGTACCCATATCTGATGCAATCGATGGCGAAAACCCTGAGGTTGAAGAGAAACAGAAACCTTTGGCACCAGATCCCGTAGGTATAGAGCACTCAACTGAAACAGTTAATGGAGGCTTGGAATTGCCTACGATTCCAGCACCGGATGTCGAAGAGCCTGCGGAAATGTCTACTGAGATAGCTGCGGAGCCGAGCGAGCCAGACGCGGATGGCCATTCGAAACAGATATCAACAGACTTGGTTCCCATTAGTCCAGATCGCAGTAGTCAACCTACTCCAAGGACGACCGAAACAAGACCTTCCGAGGTCGATTCTGCCTCTTCTGTTGAGCCTCACCATAGTAGTCGTCAAGTCACACGAAGCGTCACACCAGAATCTCTGAACAAACCGAAGATAAGGATCCCATTTCTGCTTCGAGGAACACTGAGAGAGTACCAACACTACGGCTTAGAATGGCTGGCTGGTCTCTACGCCCAAAATACCAATGGAATCTTGGCCGATGAGATGGGTCTGGGTAAAACCATCCAGACCATTGCTCTGCTAGCTCATCTCGCTTGTGAGCATGAAGTTTGGGGCCCGCATCTTGTCATTGTGCCCACGAGTGTGATGTTGAATTGGGAAATGGAATTCAAGAAGTGGTGTCCGGGATTCAAGATTCTGACTTACTACGGCAATCAAGAGGAGCGCAAGAAGAAACGACAAGGCTGGAAGACTGAAGATACTTGGAACGTATGTATCACTTCCTATCAACTCGTCATTCAGGATCAACAAGTCTTCAAACGACGCCAATGGCATTATATGATTCTCGATGAAGCCCACAACATCAAGAACTTCAACTCCCTGAGGTGGCAGACCATGCTTAATTTCAATACCCGAGCACGGCTTTTGATCACCGGCACCCCTCTTCAAAACAACCTTACGGAATTGTGGTCTCTGTTGTATTTCCTGATGCCCTCGGATGGTTCAGGCCAAGGTGTTGCTGGATTTGCTGATCTGAAGGAATTTCAAGATTGGTTCAAGAAGCCGTCCGAGCAGATCCTCGAGCACGGCCGAGAACAAATGGACGACGAGTCAAAAGCAATTATCAGCAAGCTACACAGACTTTTGCGGCCTTATCTGCTGCGACGATTGAAAGTAGATGTTGAAAAGCAGATGCCGGCCAAGTACGAGCATGTCGAGTTTTGTCGCTTGTCGAAGCGCCAAAGAGAATTGTATGATGGATTCCTGAGTCGTGGAGATACGCGAGATACCTTGGCCGGAGGAAACTACCTGTCGATTATCAACTGCTTGATGCAGCTGAGAAAAGTTTGCAATCACCCAGATCTTTTTGTTGAACGAGCAATCATGACCTCGTTCCCCATGGAAAGGTCTGCCCTTGCAGAGTTCGAGATCAAAGACCTTCTTGTCCGTAGGCGACTCCTTCGCGAAGATCCCATGACTAAGGCAAGCTTGGAATTCCTAAATCTGGTCCCAACAAAACACGAACGCTTCTCTGGTGCCGTCACTACTCGAAGCGCTGTTCTCAGTGCGCAGCGTGTACTTATGGACATGCGTGAAGCTCAGCGTACGCGAGCCCAGAATGCCTTGACAAGTTTCGATCCATTAACGGCGAAATCGAACCTGACTTATCTGGAGAGCGCTTCCAGATGGGGCCGTTTTGAGGAACTTCAGCATTGTGTTTACCTCAATGCTCTACGACGGCAGCAAAAACCAATGTACGGGAGCAAATTGTTGGAGTTTCTTACTATTGGTGTCCACGACCGACCTTTCAAACCTCGCCCGGATAAAAGACAGAAGATCTTAAATTGGTTGGAGACTCGCTCCCCGGCTTTGATGTCAATGGTCCCCAGTCTAGAGGCCAGATCCGAATCTCTCAACACAACCATCCAAAAGTTCGCTTGCGTAACACCTCCTGTCGTTGCGAGAGATATAAACTCCACGATCCTCTCCCCCAAAAGCTTGGGCACGGTTCAAAGTACCATCACCAGCTCTGAAATCGATCCATTCCACGAGGCACGCATGAGGCTTTCCATTCAATTTCCCGATAAGAGATTGCTCCAGTACGACTGTGGAAAATTACAGACTCTCGCGAAGCTCCTCCGCAGATTAGAAGCGGGTGGCCACCGAGCTTTGATCTTTACCCAGATGACGAAAGTCCTGGATATTCTCGAACAGTTCCTCAACATCCACGGCCACAAATACCTTCGCCTGGACGGATCGACGAAGATCGAACAGCGTCAGGTGCTTACGGATCGCTTCAACAACGACAAACGGATTCTTGCCTTTATCCTCTCAACTCGGTCTGGTGGATTGGGCATCAACCTTACTGGAGCCGACACTGTCATTTTCTACGACCTTGACTGGAATCCGGCCATGGACAAACAATGCCAAGATAGATGTCATCGTATTGGACAAACCCGTGATGTTCACATATATCGACTGGTATCGGAACACACCATCGAGGCGAACATTCTTCGCAAGGCTAACCAGAAGCAAATGCTAGACGACGTGGTCATTCAGGAGGGAGAATTCACGACTGACCACTTCAATAAAATACCTGTCCGAGACGTAATTGCTGCGGATCCGGACCTCCTCGATGGCGATCGAGCTGCCAACGATGCAATGGATCGTGTCTTGGGAGGACCTGGCACAAACAAGAACGTATCTCATGTCCTCGCACAAGCTGAGGACCAAGAGGACGTAGCAGCAGCCAAGGTAGCTGAGCGAGAAATCGTCCAGACAGACGCTGCGGATTTCGACGAGAATGCTGCTATCGCCTCAGCACCCACGTCCGCCGGAACTCCGCGAGACGGCGCTCCTACACCAGCTGCCGACGATACCCCTGCCATAGACGAAGTGATCGAGGACGATGAGAATAACGCATGGGGAGAGCCTATTCAATCGATAGACGAGTACTTGTTGAGATTGGTAGCGGATCAGCTCAAAAGCACCCCGTTGGAGCTTCCCAAAGATAAGAGTAGGAGAAGGCGAGGAAGAGACCATCGCTCTCACAGAGCGAGGTAGTGTTCCAAGATTTTTTGTATATCAATATTTTACATTCCAGGAGTGTGTTTAAGTACGACTTAGAATGAGCGACGTTACAAGGAGTATGGGATTGGGTTCCGGCGTTAGCAAAAGGGGCATGGAGGGGAGTTCAAAGTATGGGATTGTGTTCTCGTGTTTATGGATGCTTGAGCATACCTGGAAGGCTGGAAGGAAAGGGGACCACTTGCTGTAAAATACTGACATGAACCTGGCATTGCATCGCTATGACCATTCTCGTTAACCTGGCGGCTGGCTGTCGCGTACAGTTCCTTAATCAACAACCGGGGATTTCTCTGCATCCCTCGCTCAAGCTGAATAGGAACAGCTACCGACCTGAGTATAGGCGCCAGGTGGATCATTTTCAGACTTATTTAGAGATGCTCTCTGGACGACCCTGAACTCTACGCCGTGCCTCTAGAGTGCGTACATTATTTTAAGAGCTGATCTGATCATGAGATTGAACGATACCTATGCAGGCGTCTTGAGATCATAATGTAAAAGAGGAAATTTGCAAGCTGTTGCTTAATCTCAGAGAACATGCTTGACTTCGAGATATCCCCTTCAACTGGACCGTGTTAGCTCGAACGCGCTCCTGAGATGAGCAGGCGACCATGTGCGAGCCAAGTAGAATTTATCCTTCACTGGTCGATATGGCGATGGTTCTTGAGAAGGACTGGTGAGAATAGTTCCAGGCTAGTGGCATCAGCTAGAGCAAGATATTGGAATATCTGGGCGACTTTGGTTGAGGAGGGGGCGGGGTGGGGGGGGATATGGATATATCAGACTACTAGGATTAGCCATCGTGTTAGGTCTGGACTGAGAAAAGCAACTCGAGAAGAAGCAAGAGAATGTTTGTAATCTGGAAGTAAACTTAATTTTATGGCGTGAAGAAAACAATGTTACTCCTTCCATTGAGCTTCCTGAAGGAAAGCCTAGGTAGGCTACACCGCCCCAGCCCTCACCACCCTCAACCTCGATCCAGTGTTGAGCACTGGCAGTATCTGAACTCCCGATCAGCGACCAGCGGTTGACCTACAATGCGCCAGAAGCCAGAGTTGCGTTTCCCAAGAACCGATCTTTATTTTAGTTGTAGTCCTGTGCCTTTTGCCTGGTGATGTACCCATCGCGATAGGCGCATCAAACATGGCGCAGCCATCCTCGAGCTCCAAAGTCACAGGTACTCCCGGGCACTTTCAAAAGAAAAGCAAACCTGAGCTAACGCACTTCCACACAGTCGAATACTCTGATCCGTTTGGTGTTTACCAGCTTCTGTCACCCGGTCTACTACCACGACTTCCTCTCCGAAACCTCTACTGGGAATCACACGCCGGGCCTCTGAGATCAATCTCGTCCCTCCACATCGACCTAGTCCCTGACGACCAAACCTTGCAGCCACCTCAGTCTGTAGATGCTGGACCTACGAGTGCATTGAATACATCGAGAGTGAAAAGTGAGGATTCGACTTTGAGTGGCGACGATGGCTTTCGAACACAGGCATTGGGTACAGCGGCGGCAGAAAAACCAGAATCACGGTCGGGGCCACCAAAACATGTCGCCAGGGAGCGCAGGCATCAGATCCCAGGATTACGACAGACGCCATACTTGAAAGTGTTCTTTTTACGATGCGACGATAATGATACATATAAGGCGCAGGCCCGGCGGCAAGTCCGAGAGTGGATCAAGGAGCATACACCACCGACGCAGAGTACTGCGAAGGTTACTGCACAAGAGAATCACGATGCATACGAATGGTTAATTGTTCATGTAATTGTACCGAATACTGCGGCCGCAACGCAGCCTAGAACGAGCGGGAAAGGGGCCGAAGGGAGTTCGGGGTCCACTTCAGATAAATCATCGACGCGATGGAGGGGAGGGGGCTCATCAACTATCCTGGAGAAGCTACGGGCAGACTTCAATGGCTCTTCCAAGTCCTCGGTTGATCGTATTGCACAGATTCGCATTGGTATCAACGATGTTCCTTATGATATGCTCCCAAGAGTGGTTCCAGCTATCCCGGGCTCATATACCGAGACACCGCAAGAGAATGAGAATGCTTGGCATGACTTTATCTCCAAGTTGAAATCGCAGATTCTTTCTTCATTTGACATGCGCGTCACTCAGTACGAAGAAGACATCCGGGAGAAGGATGCTCAGAGATCACTCCCAGGATGGAACTTTTGCACTTTTTTCATGTTAAAGGAAGGTCTCGCGAGAGGCTTTGAAAGCGTGGGACTCATCGAAGATGCACTTGTGGGATACGATGAGCTTGCAATGGGCCTCGATTTCATCGTCAGGGAACAATCTGCTACAGGGTCTGGTGCAGAACATGGAGGATCTTTCTTGCCCTTTACAGAGAATCTGAAGCGGCGAGCTGAGAAGGCGAGAACTGATATTCTTAAAGATTCAGGTTCAGATCAAATTGATGAGACTGATGACCCTATCGATCTTCAATCTGTGGTCGATACGTCCGATCACGATGCCGATGAGATCCCATTGAGCGCAACCAAAAAACGGTATCGAGAGCTCATACTCTCGAATGACATCTCGATTTTTGACTTCCGTTGTTACATTTTTGCGCGTCAACTCACGTTGCTACTTCGGCTCGCCAACGCGTCTTCCTCGCAAGAGGAACTTCTTGCAAAACTCAAAGAGCAGCGGGAGTCAAGTCTACAAGGGGTCGCTGCGCGGCGACCTGCTTCTCAGCCCACTGAGGATGTCGAGAACCTCTCTGTTCTTGGCGAGGTGTGTCGAAGATCCATGGATTTCATGCCATCAATATCACGCATCATGCGAGAAGATATCTGGAACTCCCGAAGAACTAACAAGCAGGCTAGAGAGGATGCTGGCTCCGACTCTCTGGATCCTGTCATGGACCAAGTAATTGACAACATGGTAATTTCGTTTATATTTGCCATAGCTCAGCAAATACTCGCCCAAACTTCCACGAAAGCGCTACCGATTCCTCCATCTACGTTGGCTCCCCCTAGTGGAACTATGAGTATTGGTGGGCAAGAGCCCAAGGCCAGTATACCCGAGCCAAAGACGATGATGCATCCTACTAGAAGCAGCTCTCTAGCCCTGCGATCCAGATCACGAGAACCACCAGCAGTAGAAAAGTTCCCTGGCATGCGGAGAGCAAGTGTACCAGAAGGAGCCGCTCCTTCGACATTCCTGAAGGCTGGTTTGGAGGAACTGGCTGCGCATAGAGCCGAGCTCTACCTCTTATCAAGAAGCATTCTGGTGCAAGTTGGCAAGGAACATGGGTGGAGCGTTGGTTGGGCAGAATTGTCCCAATTGCAAGGCAACGATGTCGGAGAGATGGAAGAAGTTGACCTAAATCAAGATTCATCTAAAGTTCCGAAGACGCCCGTCCTTCCGCCCTCTTCCCACGGAATTGATAGCAAATTGCTCTACACTGCGGTTGACAATCAAGCTGATTTCTATCGACTCTATGAAACCTTGATAGACAAGGCACTTCGGCACTATACCGTAGCTAATCATCTGCAATCTGTCCAGGCAAGCACGGCTGATCTTGCTGTCCTCAAGTATCATCTTGGAGATTATGCCGCGGCGGCCTCGTATCTATATCGCATGACTCCCTTTTATGGCGAAAATGGCTGGGCACAGGCCGAGCTTTCGATGCTTGTGATGTATGCAACATGCCTTAGAAAGCTTGAGCGTAAAGAAGAGTATGTCAGGGTCGTGCTGAAGCTACTGTCGAAAGCCGCGGTGGTAGAGCATGACAGACTTCTCCAAAAGTCTGCCTTCAAAATTTGTCAGAGCAACCAGTTCGACCTGGATGTTTTGCCAAACGGTCCATACCTCCCTGGGCTACTAGAGACCACCAAAGGATTGCAGCATGAATTCCGTGTGCCGTTACAGAACTTCTGTGATAGAATCGAGGTTGATGGTACTATCAGATACCACACTGAAAAGGACAGTTTTGGGCTTCTGCTTCGATTTCATTATTTGTTGACAGATGAACTACCGATCGAAAAGGCCAAAGTCCAAATTACACCACTGAGCGGTGCCTTGAATAGAGAACTATGGCTCGAAATGCAGGGCCAAACCATTCTTAGGAAAGGTACAATGAGCTTGTCCGTGCAAAGCAATGTGAGTATATTTTTTATCCATAGACTTACCCTTACTAATACTAATGTTGTTAAGGTTATCTTCCCAGGCACATACACTGTGAGCCATATCATTCTGCAGAGTAACAATCTTACTTTGCATTATGAGCACGGCAGTGCAAATATTCCCTCTACCATGGTTTTTAAGTGCCCGAAGCTTCTTATCTATCACAGATCTGAGGCATTCGATGCCAAGCTTTTCGCATCTAGGTACATGCATCTCGATCGCAATCGTTCGCTCGAAATTGAGCTCTCATCCGGGTGGAATAAGGTTACCAGCGGCGAGCTCCAGGTTCGAGCTGCCACTGCGGGACTAAGAGTACAGACCAGCGAAGCCAAAGTAAACAGTGGCTCTCTTGAACTTTCAAAAAATACGGAAACTGGCGTTGTACGATTTGGTCCAATGGAGCCTGCTTCTAGTGCGAAGATCATCATGCCATTCAGTCTCGAGCACGAAGTGAACGATATCTCTTTGAAGTTGGAGATATCGTACACAACTGACAGTGGGTCGTTTTTATTCGCCACGACCCTATCGGTATCCATCATGCTCCCGCTGGGAGTAAACGTTCAGGACGTCTTTAAACACAAAGCTCTGTTGTCGAAGTTTACCATCTCCACGGCCACTTCTACGCCGCTGCGCTTGCTGGGCTCCAAGCTAGAAGGTTCCAAAGTGTTTGAAGCGCATTCTGGGGTCACGATATCTAGGCCACTTGTTGTGTTTCCACGCCAACCTGTTTCGATGCTCTACAAGATCACTAAGTCGATTACACAGCCGGGTCCCCATTCTCGCAGCGGAGTAAAGTCCTCTTTATCGCTCGTTCTCAATTATATATGCCTCGATGAGGAAATAGAGGACGCCATTACTTTGGATCTCAATCGACTACTGGACTCAGGCTCGTTACAGCAATACAAGCGACTCATAATATCGACCGTTCTTGCTGAAGTACGAGCAACGCTTTCATCCTACGATTTTGAGCGGATAGCCATTCTTAGTGAATTCTCCACTTCCATCATTTCGTCCGTGAGGTGGCGGGACCATTTTGACGGTCTCGGCCAAGAGCAGAATCAAGATGTCGCCATCCTCATCGAGCAATGTCTGCAGAAATGGCAGGATCAGACGCCAAGCCTTCCGTTGATACCTATATCCATCACAGACGACATTATTAGGAAGAGCCGATCAATCCTTATTCCCGTCGATATTCCTTCTGTGACGGTCGTGTGCACTGCCGACCTTAAACTTCCTCGGCCCTCTGTTTCTACCAGTCCAATCGTGGTGGCCTCCAACCAACCTCTTTCAGCCTCGCTGGCGGTCAAATACTCGAGATTATGGGATACTGCTCCGGAATCAAACGGCGGAGCTTCTTCAGACGACTACCACGAGTTCTTCTACGAAGTTTCGGGTGCTACCGATACTTGGCTGATTGGTGGCAAGCGAAAAGGCCACTTCAGAATACCCAGCAAAGCCTCAAGCTCAGATAGCAAACGAACGCTCAAATTCCCAATCGTGTTAGTACCATTGCGAGAAGGTTATTTGCCGTTTCCGCACGTGGATATCAAGTCTGCGGTGAGGTTGCTCAGCCCTACCTCTGCTGAAGCAGGGAGCCCGACGAAGAAGGCTGCGGTGGCGAGTTGCGAGACGGACTACAAAAATGCTGGAGAGACTATGAGGGTTATCAGCGATGCGTTGCAGACAACTCTCAGTCTCGATGCGAGTGGGCCACAGGGAGGCGCCTGGCTGCTTGAGAGTGCGAGGAGGGGTTTTGGGCATGGGGAAGCTGCTCCTGGGGTCTAAAAATAAGGTTCGTGTGCGATTTTGGAGAGATGGACAGTCCAAATACAAGCTCGGCCTAGAGACGTTGATTCGAAATTCCCGTCGCGAGCACGTTGTTCGTTTCTAGTGAAGCGTGTTTACTACGCTAGTTTTGGATCTGAACGATCACCTAGATTCTCTTTTTCTTGGGAAGGTTTGAAGTTTTCCCTTTGGTCGTCTGGATCATAGCTGATCCCGCCGATGACGAATCAAGACAATATAGACCTGACGGAAACGTTTTCAATCTCGCCTCACGTGAGCTTCCACCGGTTGCGTTGACTTCACGGATCTGAGCCTCGCGCTCGCTAGGTTCTATGGCGTTGATATCGTCGACTCCCCCGGCGACCGCGTTACTCTTATACTCTCTCACAAGTGTGGAAAGAAGCTCTTGCAAGACTTTTGACTCCCGGAATCCGATCAGTATCGTATATAAAGATCTGATCCTCGCGTACGTTAATATTATGCTGATTGGTAACAGACGAGCCGTGCAACGTCAACACTGGATCAGTTTCTTATCATTGCAGCTCATCGACCCTTCTTCCAACAGATAGCAAAGGACCTTTACAGAACCTTTATCCGCTGGGGCCGCGAAGGAGGTGATGGTGGGAAGCGAATGAGATGCGATGCACTGCTGCAGTGCCGGCATTCCCTCTCCATTCGTTGCAGATCAGATACCGTCTTCCCTCTTCCCTCCCTCTTCCTTCAAATTTCTAGTCCTCGAGTGAGGCCATCTCACAAATGCCATATATCCACGCCAGGCCAAGCCAGGCCCCCAAGCCCAACTCTGCTCAGATCCTTTAGACCATATTGATTTAACCATCACGTATGCCCTGTGTAAAGACGGCAAAAACCAATAGTGTACCAAAGACCTCCTTCTCCATGGAAAAGGATATCCCTGTCTACGACGTGTCAGACAGCGATGTTGGTAACATCGATGTTGATGATGTCGAAGGTCTGCATCGGAATCTGAGCGGCAAGCGGATCCAGATGATCACAATGGGAGGGTCGATCGGGACGGCGTTATTCGTCGGTATCGGAAGTGGACTTGTTCAAGGCGGTCCCGGATCGCTGTTCATTGTTTTTACGCTGTTCTCGTGCTGGCTGGCACTGGTCAATGATTGTATGGCTGAGATGCCAGTGTTCATGCTGGTGAGTGGTGGGTTCGTCAGGATGGGAAGTAAATGGGTGGACGAAGCCTTTTGTCTCATGCTCGAGTGGAATTTCTGCTTACATGGTCAGTGTATCCTCACTCGTTCATGTTTCTCCCCAACGCTGTGACAAGAGGCTATTCTTATCCCATGGAAGATTTCGGCTCTGAATCTCGTCTTGACTTTCTGGAGAAACGACATTCCGCTTGCTGCTGTCTGCGCCGGGTACATTTTACTCTACGGGTAATCAGAACATCCTAAAGCCAAAGCTTGGGAAAGCTCTGACTAGATCAGGATCATCAATTTTTTCGCCGTCAAATGGTATGGCGAGTCCAAATCCTGGCTGTCAGGTGGGAAACTGGTGCTCATCATCATGCTCTTCTGCTCCACTTTCGTTACCATGGTGGGAGGTAATCCGAAACATGATGCTTACGGATTTCGGTACGGGAGAGAGCCTGTAGATACTTTCTTTCCCCCCATGGGATCCTCGGCGTTTTTTTATGTTCGAAAGAGGTCCTTACTCTCGGCTACCAGCCAAGCCTCTACAACGGGAACCTCTAACAACGACCACACTCTTCAACTCTCTTCAAACGCTGAAAATTGCCAAACAAAGAGCATTCGCGGAGTATGTTGCCACTGTAAGTCTAGAGAGATTTGAAGGCTTCTTGGCCGCATTATGGAAAGCTGCGTACGCATATTTGATACTTTTCTATCCAAGGACCTCTGGTGAAGAGTGCTTTCAGCTTCACGATTGTCGGTACCGAGTACATCTCCATGATGGCAGGAGAGGCGTCCCACCCGCGCAAGAACCTGAAGCGAGCATTCAAAACCATCCACCTTCGGTTCGGACTCTTCTTCATCGGCGGGGCATTGGTTTATGGGATCGTCATTGCACACAACGATGAAAACCGCATCAATGCCCTGACCGACGCTTCGGCTTCCGGAGCCGCTGCTGCCAGTCCGTTTGTCATTGCCATGTAGAATCTCGGGATGGCGTTCTCCCTCACATCACGAATGCTCTGCTGGTGACTTCAATCTTCTCGGCTGGAAACTCTTACGTGTAAGTTCAGCACTATCATGTCTTGATGCTGCACGTATTTACTATCTTACAGATACGCGGCTTCTCGAACGCTGTACAGCCTGTCCCTCGACGGCCACGCACCAAGGCTCCTCCGCAAATGCGCGAAGAAGGGGGTGCCCATCTGGTGCCTCTCAGTTACCATGATCTTCCCTTTCCTCAGCTTCCTCGCCTTGGGATCTTCTTCCGGTCAAGTGATTATGTGGCTCGCAAACCTTACCGAAGCCTCGCAGATCATAGACTGCATCTGCATTTGCTGGATATACTTGCACTTCTATCGGGCGCTGAAGGTGCAGGGCTTTGATAGGCGGGGTCTGCCGTACGTGGGGTGGGCTCAACCGTACTGTGCCTGGGCTGGTCTGGGCACGATGACTTTCACGGTGTGCTGTTATGGACATTCCACTTTGCTGCCTGGATATAAGTTGAGACCCCCCCGCTGGGAACTTTGCATTAATGTCATCAGGGTGGGACGTTGGGACGCTCTTCTCATACTACACTGTGGTCTTTGTGTGCCCGATCTTACATATAGGCTGGAAAGTGTACTGGAAGACGACACCCGTCAGGCCTGAAAAGGCGAACTTGGTACGTACCGCGCCTCCTCCCCTTGGACCCCTTCTTTCACCCGACGTGGACTGACACCCCGTAGGTCTGGAAACGCCCTGCTATCGACGCCTATGAGGCGAACATGGTCGAGAAAACCCGCTCTTTTTGGGAACAGGTCGGAATGATGGGAGGCTGGCACAGGAAGAACCCGGAACATACCGAGTAGAAGGGCTTAGGAGAAGAGGGTGTTCGTAGCTGTTCAAATTCCGGACGGTGGGCTATACTGCCTGACCGAAGCCTCCCAGTCTCCTCCGGGAGGACTGCTTATCATAAAACAGAAAAAGAGAGTGGAAAAATGATTATTCCCTTCTGATTGTGCTACTTACGAAATTCGCCAAAGCCCGATTTCCACGATCCCGTTTGATCTTCCAAGCTTTCCGATTAATGACCACGTCCGAATATTCCTTTAGCTCAGCTTCTGATTCAAGACATTTGGCCCATAAATTCATCTACCACATTAGTTCGAATTATGCATCTGCAGCTCCTATTCGATACCTTTAACCCAAGAGAAACATAGCGCATTCTGCGCTTTCTTGGGCTTTGATACCAATTCTCCCACTTGATATACTCCACGATAACATCTTCGTCTAAGCCCTAGAAAGAGTGTCGGTCATGAAAAGTCGTCCCATATTGGCCCCACTGGTCGTCCCCTAACCTGCCTCCCTCAATATCGTCCGTCGGTTTTCTATAAGATCTCAGGATATATAGACTTTGCCGATATCTTCAATCTTATCCTTTCTCGCTTTGATAGCACGATACCAACGCCCTTCTCCACCCTTCCAGTCAATAGGTTTGTTTACTGTTCATTTAAATCATTAGCTTCGCGTAATAAGTAACAATCTGTATAGATTGAGTCCAATTCTCAACGCTCGGCTACTTTGAAAGGGGGCCCTTCCCCTCTAGTGTAACGAAGCGACCTATGCTCCATGATTGGATTGACTCACTCATATCAAAGCCAGGTCCCGATTGAGGATCATACGCCAAATTCAGAATAAATGTGGATTTCCACGAGCTTGTATGACGAGTTTAAACGATTTCAACCGCGAGCATTTTACCGAATATTGAAGCTGTAAGAATAACAATTACTGATCAAGTCTGTATATTCGTATAGTATCGATATGTTAAATTTTGATTTGTCTGTGTAAAGGGGCCCCAAAAGTTGCGACGTCAAGGCCCACTATTACGTGGTTAAGCGAAGAATTGAAGGAGATATAAGTTTTCAATGCTTTTCAAGGATTTTCATAGTGCGAATACATAAAATCAAAGCTAAAATCAAGCGAGTCTTTCATCAGGTGAATAGCATATTGGAATCTAAATAGCACGATAACTAATCATATCAATGTATTGCAAACCGAATCAAAAATATCCGTATAATCGTATTCTAATATTTTATCCTGTTTTTTTGTCAAGCTTTTAGTACACCATGAGAGATATTAAGAGAACAAATAATAATATCAGTCCGACGGGGGATATGGTTATTTCAGAGGATATGTTTTTTTTCGCCCACCCAGCTCTAGCGTAATTTCGAAGTCCATCTAGACCTTTGCGCAGTCAACGCGCTGATCAGTGAAGGGCTACGATTCGTTCTTTACCTGTACGAGATGCCCTGGACGAACCTCCAGCTCTCTTTCTCGCGGTAGACAGAGTCTGGAGAGCCGAAATTGCATCATCGATATGCGCCGTCTCTTCGAAGAGATTTTTCTTTATTGGCGGTTTCGGCCCTCCCTTTTTTTTTTTTTTTTTTTTTTTTTCGACCACTTACGCCGACTACGGTTTACACTTAACGGGTATCATCGTCGGCTCTGAAGACTGAAAGGATGATGAGAGGCCCACCTAGGGCGAGCCGACGATTACCGATTGAAAAGACTAGAAGGATTTGCGATGAAAGGGGAACGGGTAGCAAAGATAAGAAAGGCTTCGTTCGCTGGATCGAAAACACGGTATTGCGCCTTCGGAGGAGCGTTCTGCAAACACACCGGCTTGACACAAAGGCTACGGACGCGAGCCTTTACAGCTTGACGATACACGAGAACGGTGTTTGTATTCGTAGAAATCGAAGCCGCTCGTCAAGCCATACATACGTATTCGACAATTACCGAGATAAAACTCGGCGCATACCGGTATTACTAGAAAATGCTCTCAAAAGGTTTATAGGAGTTTGCGATACCGCGGGATCAAAGACTCGAAGCTATCTCAAAGAAAACTTTTCCTTGACGTAGTTTGTATTTTCGATTGGATGGTACTTTACATGCTGTATAATTCTTTCCCTCAGCACATCGCCGTACGTTATGAATGGTCCTCAAGGTCTAAGGATTAGGGTCTTGGATACTCGCCCGACGTAAATCAATGCTGCTGCTACCTACGAACTACTACTACTATTACTCTAACCCTCTTTGTAATAGATGGTCATTGGACCGTCTGAAGTCAGTACTAAACCACCCTATTCAAGAATGGTTTACAGAGGTACCGCGGTGAAGTGTTGTAGCCCTTGCTACTCTACAATCACTATCCCAACTTAACTGCGCAATAACCCGACCTTAATACAAAGTAGAGTATTACTCCGCAAGGCATTTCGGAATTCTATAAGGTTCCGCGCTTAAGGTCAGGTTATTGCTCAGTTACTACGAATTAGAATAGTAGCTGTGGAGTAGCAAGGGTTCCAACACTTCACCGCTGTACCTCTGTAGATAACGACATCTCCAGCAGCAGCAGAAATACGTAGTACAGTAGGGATTTCTTTCCCCCTCCGCTAGACTTCGGAGGTCCTGCCTCTTCCCGTCATGCTTATCTTTTTTGGCATAGTTTCAGTTGGTTCATCCATTTACACGTACTACTACGTACGTAGCAGATTTCCGAGGAAGAGGTTTTATCTGCCGGAGTGTCAGACATGATAAAAAAGGTTATTTTTTGGTCTTGGAGTCCTTGATTTGAATTAGCCTTTATCACCCTTTCCTTTCCCATTTTTTTTTTTTCCCAGGAAAGATTAAGAGGCGGATTGGCTCTGGTTGACTGCCTCAGGAGATTCGATCGACTGTCCGTCCATACACCGCTTTTCTCCAGCGTGGCAACGCTACCCAATCTCCATCCAACACGTCTCGACGCGTAGGATAAAAATCAATAACTACCTTTTTTTTTCTTTCTTTCGGGATCTCGGGAGTCTTGCGGGGGGTGTAGAGTTCAAGGCAAAAGCGTCAAGACGAGGTGAAGAAAAAAAAAAGGTGCGGAAAAGATTTGCCGTGCTTGCAACTTACTCCGTACAATACTCTGCAGAGACTTCTTCAAAGAATGCAACTCCTTTCCTGAAGTGGTAGTACAGCCATGAATACAAAACGAAAGTATGATTTTTCGCAAGGGATCTTACCAAGGCTTAATTAAACCAATCAGTTTACAAGAATCAGCCTTGGAAAGCATCTTTAAGCAAGTAGTATTTGAACAAGAATCCAGCCTGGGAAAGTATCTTTAAGCAAGTAGTATTCGATCTGTGCAATAGAGTTGATAGGGCTTTGAGCCCTTCAGAAACCACCGCTCTACGATTTGTGTAGCTAAACTGGGTCCGGCATTGATCAAGGGAAAATGTAAAAGAAAGAAAAAAGACTTCAACGGCGCTAAATTGAGGCAATATGTTTTTCGCATTTCTGTACTGTACTGGTACTTTAACACCCTGCCCCCCTTTACATAAATGCAATACTAGGTCTCTTATAGGCCGATTCCAGGGGGTATAGCAAGGCTGATACAATAAGTACTACATAGTAGAATATATACTACAAGGGTTTCAAGCCAACCGGAAGAAAGAAAAATATGAAAATCGATTTAAGAATTTGATCTCGTGTAGAGTTGGGCCTTCCTTGAGCATCGATTATAGTAGTACCGGTAGTAGCTTGATAACGCCTCTATTACGATTCGGATCAAGATTCGATATACTACTAGCGGTAGTAATAGTAATAGTGGTAACTAGCTAGCAGGAATAGCGTCCCCAAGCCTCGGATATGATTCCTCGTACTCTCTTGACAGAGAACGATTGAGCGTTCGTTACAAACAGATAGAAAATATCTAGAAAATATCTTGTTCTCAATAGAGGCGTTTTCGTTCGAGCGTCGCCGTCGTTTTTTTTTTTTTTTTCGGTGTTGGAGGAGCCAAAGTCGTGGAAAAGCTGTGTTGGGAAAAGAATGGATGGGTTCAATAACTGGTTGATACTACTATCTACTATAGCGATCAAGAGATTGGAACGGGTCGGATATAGTGAGTGGTACGAGAATTATAAGCGGAAAGAAAGGGTTTATGCAAGACGGAGGAGGGTAAGGAGAGTTAGTAGTAAGTGGCCTTTATTTCAATTGGCTTAAACCCTTGCTTACCCTACTACGTACGTACGTAGTACTACGTACGTACCTAGTAGTAAGTAGTACGTAGTATTACCCCTTGCTATGCGCCCTGCTACGTATACACCCTGGAATCGGTCCACAGGAGGCCCAGTATTAATACGTACGTAGTAGTACATTTACTAGTACGTAGTACTTAATGGGGGAGTATGTAATGACCAATATATAATTAAAGGTTGGTAATATTCCGAAGCATTACCGGCGATCTACTCTCCCCCACCCATGGACAGGTACGTACCGGTAGTACGTACATACCATCGAAAGTACATTTTTGCTCCGTACAGTACTACCGTACCGTACCGTAGGGGTTGATGGGGGGGGTTTGGGGGAAGATGGCAATGAGCCCAGACAGGTCAGCCCCTAGAATTTACAACTAGCTTAAGTAGAAAACACGACCCGCACGCACCCTTGAAAAAAAAAAACCAGCCGAACCCCCTACGGTATATCTCGTAGCCAGCAATCACGGGCTCCCCTGAACCCAACCTTCGCCGCCGAGGTCTCCCAGCGATTCAGCAACCTCGATAGGTACCGGTCCTCTCCCGCCCTCAAAATCCGATCGAGCGCGGTTAGACCTGCAGCCGGTGAGAAACGATGGCTTCCAGAGGCGATCTGGTTCAGCGTTAAGCTTACTGCGACGCGGCTTCGAGAGCTCTGGATCGGCGCCGAGTGAGTATTTGAGAGGCTTACGAAGCAGGCCTTTGGGAATGCATGCATCGTTTTATGGTACTGCGTATGATTCGTAATGCGATCGAGATCAAGCCAGTGGCTAATGCAGAAAGAGAGAGGGCTTACAAGATAGATAGTATTAAGAAATTACTAAGTAGGAAATCAATGTAGTAGTACCGGTATACATCGTTTTGCGACCTATCCTTACTACGGTACGTAATCGGCGGTCAACTTCACGGCTGAAATAGGCTTCTATCGAGTGGGTCTTCTGACATGTACTGTACTGTAGGTACTACCTACTACTACCTACTAGGACTACCTACTACTACCGGTACTTATGGGAGGGATAGTACGAGCTGTGTAGGTATACCGGTACGCGTCTAAAACCATATAAGCGAGCCCTCTACCATCAAAACCGGTGTGCTGTATTTATTGACTGACAGTCGAAGGGGGTACGTACGTACCGGTGGTAGGTAAGCTTGAGCATGCAAGTACTACGTATTAGCAGATGAGCGTAAATAAATCCCGTCCAACAAATAAGATAAACAGAAGGCTGTCCTGATTTCTTTTCGCCTTTCCATCCGTACGTGCGTGTACGTAGTTTAGATACCGGTCTGTATACCTACCTACCTACCTATGTCTGCACGCACCGACTCAAAAATGATCAGAGGAAGGAGGAGTCTTACTACAGTATTGGTTTCAAGCGTACCTTAGATACTTTACCGGTCCTTCGTATCGACGCCGATCTGGTCTCGACGCCGATCTCATCTCGTTTTCGAAGGGTTGACAAGACAGACCACTGAGCTTTCTATGGCAGATATTACCACGCCTTATCGTGCAGACCTGAATGTATTGATTGATGGGTACCGTATGCTAGTAGTGCGTGAGTCTGTGGCTATCAGAAATAGGTACCGGTAGATAGCGCAGCCCCACGCTGGTGTTGATCGCTGAGGCGGCAGGCAATCGGACGCTGCAAATGGAAAGGGCGGCTTAGGCGATGATGCCAATCCGATCAATTTTTTTTTTCTTTTTAGTTTATATTTGTAATCTTTTACACTCTCATTCGTTGTGAAGATCTTCGAATCATGAACTGGAACTTTCGCGATTTTTTCAGAGCTAATTTTGGTATAGAAAATGGTAGATACAATATTATTATTTTTTTTTTTTTTTTTTTGGGCTCACCACATGATGGCGGCTCAGGCCCTGCGCATGCATGGGAGGAGAGCGGCGCGGGCCCGGGTGGCTGGCTGGAGGGGCAGAGACGGTGTTGGTGGGTGTGGGCCGGAGCGGGACGGGCGGCTTCACGGTAGACCGGGTGCTTGCTAGGAAACGTGGTTGGGGCTGCGAGGGTCGTGACAACGGTAGGTGGGCCTCGGTGGGGAGCCGGCCGGGTGTGGTGGTGGACTCTCTGAGGGAGGATTTGGTAAGGGCGGTTGGGAAGGGGGAGGTGGACTGCATGTTTGGTACGGTGGGGGACGGTAGGGGCGCTGCCGGTGATGAAGAAGGGCGGGATGGTCGGATCGGTTAGTACGGTGCCGAATGGGACGGTGTTCAAGTGGTCAAGGGGGTCTCTATTTTGTCCCAGCATGCCAAACTGGCTGCTCGGTCTACTGAACGTCGGGGACTGGTTCTACAGGTCGTGGTGTTGGTGGAACGGGGTGCAGTACGAGTAAGTATTTGAAGGTGGAGGGGAGGACGGAGGACGGAGGACGGAGGACTTGGATGCGCTCGCTAAAGCTGTCGAGGAGGGGAAGCTGAAGCCCATTGTCGGGTGAACGGCGAAGTTGTCTGATCTCGAGGCAGTGAGGGATGCATGTCAGCCAGTCCTCGATGGGAAAGGCGGCGTCGGGAAGTTTGTCATGGAAACAGTTCATGCGAGTCTGTAGTCGCGCGACCTTCCATTCCAGCTGAATGCTGATGTTTTCGCTGTAGTCCACCCAGCACGGAATCCGAAAGATGCCATGCGTCCTGCCTCGTGAATCCGCCGAGGGGGAGAGGAAGTCCCAGCTTCGGGATCGAGCGGTCAGCTGGAACTGGCAGCTTGGTGTCAGGTGTGACATTCCCAGATTCCCAATAATCTTCGTTTGGTACTCCCCGAGAGGTCGGCACGTGGGAAGACAATAGCATGGCTTGTCGGGCTTCTAGAAAGAAAGGGATGGCTTGTCTCAGTCGGGTACGTCGGTTATGATCGATTGGAGTGGGCCAGAGCTCCGAGGGAAGGAAAACGCAGCTCTGATATGGCTCTGTTCTACGAACGATCCGCCGGGAGAGTCCACCAATATGCCCTTGGTTTGCCACTCCAAATCTGGCAGCGAGGGAGACCCGGTATCCTGCTGTCGGTCGGTTGCTTGCTGTAGGTCCCTCTTCAGCAGAAGAAGCTTGCGGTCAAGCCAGAGGACCCATGCGCAGCGGCATCGACGAAGGGAAAAGGTGCTTTTTGGGAATGAAAATGACGGTGGTGGAGAGAGCATCCCGTTGTTTGTTACTAGGCAGTGACGCTGGGCGATGCTTTGGAAGGAGGTGATATGTTGAATCATCGGGCTAGCCGCTGGAGCCTGGAGCGGAATAAGGTAAGGAACAGTTAGTCCTGTTGTTCGGATCCGCGTAGCTACGAGCAAAGGAGACGATGGTCTTCACCACCTCACGTTTTGATAAAAAATATCACGGGTCTAGGAGTCGACGTGCAACCTGGAGCAACTTTCGCTGGAGCCGCCATGATCCTCGACCTCGAGACTCTGGTGATACGGAGAGCTTGTTCGCAGACATTGCCGCCTTCCATTGCTCCACTTTGATTACCCCGGAAATGTTTAGATTCGCGAGAACTGCTTCTGTTATCGCGATTCATGATTATCTTTCCACATCAGCCAGCTCATCATCAGGGACTTACTACTAGGTACCTGTCCATGCCTTTCTCGATCACGGTCATGGCGATTGAGCATCGCTATGCAGGGGCACGCGCTAAGTTCTAAGCGCATGCAGATCTAACCGAGAATCCTACAGGATCGGGTGCCATTGTTGTTTGTTTGGTTGGTCGCTTGAAGCGAGCGTCTTTGCGATGATCAATCTACAGTTGGTACCTACTTCGAATCGACTCTTTGCCCGCCATTCACATACTCCGTACTTGCCATACGGCAGGCAAGGAATGTAGTACCGTAGGTAGGTCGGTGGCTGGCTGGGACCGATGCGGAGAAGAAATCTTCTTGGTAGATTCGGAACTCTGTTGGTCGGGGTGGAGCTCCATCCCTTGAACCAACCGGCCAACCTCTTCTTTCGCCTCCGCCACCGATCGTTGGTCTCCAGGCCGGCCCACAGCTGCTGAAAAGCGCGCGCTTGTACTCCAAGCGCTGCAGCAGCAGTATCGCAGAGGCTGAAGAAATGGAGTCTACGGAGTCGAGGATAGACCCCGAGATCGCCTAGCCCTGAAGGATAAGCCCTACCTACTACGCCTTGCTACTTAACGAGGTCCGGTCCCACGGGGGGGTCACGACAGCTGCATGCGCGTGGGCTTGGACTGCGTGGTGTGTGGTGTGTGGAGTGTGGAGTGTGAAATCCGCGGCGAGCACGGCATCTCGAGGTAAAAATAAGTCAGTCAAGGCAGTCCGTCCGTCCATGAGTTGATGAGTTGGTTGTGTAGTACCGGTACCGTACTTTTCTACTCGGGCGTGCAGGAAAGCTGTACGGTAATACCTACTGTACTTATTCCGGACGGAGATCACGTGGCAGTTAAATATAAGAAGAGACCGCCCAGAGGAGAGAAAGCCTATCGGAGACTCGGAGTGGCTGGGGCCGAAGCGAGATTGGCTGCTGCTTACAGAGTACCGGTACCTGGGCTGGCCGTCAATTACAGTACAAGTATCTACGGAGCACGAACTACCTACTTAGTAGTACCTACTACTGTATCTGTTTGGTTTGGGCAGGCGGCGGTGGTAGTCAAATTGCAGCGGCCCAATGAAGAAAAGTGCTGAGATTGCTGTTGCGGGTTGGAGTGAGATGATTTGATTTGATCTTCTGCTGGGGGTGGGAAGGACCGACCATTGGCTTTTAGTTGGGAGGCAATTTGCGCAAGCGAACGTGAAGAAGGCTCTGTTCACCATCCTGGGGTTGGGGTTGGTGTTGGTGTTGTTATTTTTATTTTTATTTTTGTGTTTGGTGTGACCGCTGTTATTATGGTCGTGGTTATCGCTCTTGTTGTTGCTGTTGTTGTCGTTGTTGTTATTGCTGTTGCTGTTGCTGACGACTCTCCTACCCACTTCTTCTTCTTCTTCTTCTTCGTCTTCGTCTTCTTTACCGCTTCCCCGTCCCCTGTCCCCCCGTCTCCCGTTCCCCGTCCCGATGCCCCCGTCTCCTGCGTATTGTAGCAGTACCTGCACCTGTGCACCCACGTCCGTCTTGGCTTGGCACGTTCCTGGACCCGCGTCAGCGTAAGCGATAGCGTCACCTTCATGCCGAACTAGGTAAGCCCGTCCGCCCCGCCCGAACTAGTCCCGGTGTTTCTCCACAGCTCATTTCAACGCGCCCTGGCCTCCTGGCCTCTTGGCATTCCCCCCTCCCCCCCCCCAGTCAAGTCACATTTACCCTTCTTCGTCCCATTTTCACTTCGTCTCCACCCTCTTCTTTCTTGTTCTCATCCCAGCTTGCCCTCGCCCGCCATTTGATTCAAGATCTCACTCCCTTCTTTTTTTCCCCCTCCTGCAGCCAACCCTCAACCCTCCCTCCCCCCCCCCCTTCCCTCCCCACCACCGCCGTCTCAAGCATTCCCTCCAACTGAGAGTTTTCCTCTCTACCACATTCCTTTGGAACAGCGACTATAATCGGTCTTCAAGACCTACCTACCTCAATTCATTCTCCCTCGCCTTTCGGCTCCAGATTGTCCCAAGTCAGCCAGCCAGCTCGACTCACTCAACCTTCGGTCTTCCCCCTTACCCAAGAGCCGCGACATCCCCAACCTCTCTAAGGATTCGCAGATTCTTTGCAATCTGTCCCGGTCACCTTGCACTGTACGTATGTACCCTTTCGACTCGGTCTGCTGCGATTGTTTGCGCGCGCGCGGTGGACCATGGTCAACGGATAGAGAGGAGAGGGGAGGAGCTCGGATCGGATGGTCGAAGTTGTTATGCTTTCCAAGGCGATACATGTGCGCTCTACATCGAGAACGCTCTGCTAACTCTCAGCGCAGCTTTCGATCGCGAAAAAAATCGGCAACCACGGCTCCCCGGCGATATTCGGTGCATATATATAAGTGGAACAAGAAGTCTCGTCTGAGAGACTTTTAACGGTTTTTAGAATAAACATATTTCACGAATTCGCTTCTTCACAATGAAGTTTTCACGTATCGCGGTTCTCGGCGCGGCGACGCTCGCTGTCGCTCAACCTCACAACCACGTACACAAGCATCCCGTCCGACAAAACGGATCTCCTGTGGAAGGGCGCGATGCGTATACCACCACCACCGTCCCAGGAGCCGTCGTGACCGTGTATGAACTGAATGGAGAGTTCATCCCATGGGATGAGGTGGAGGCTGGCATTCGTAATGGCAAATACATCCTTAATGGGGACAAGGTCACTTCAATCGCGGGCCCTAGCTCAGCCGCCACACCAACGCCGTCTTTTAGCCCACCCGCCGTATTCCTGGAGAAGAAGCCGAGCATCAACACAACTCCAGTTCCAGCCTATGTTCCACAGTTACCGGCGACCTCCGCGACCCCGACCCCGACCCCGACCTCCAATCCAACGCCTTCTTACCCGACGACCCCTGACACCCCCTCAGCCAACGGCAACAGCTCTGCCACCGTGCCTCCTGGTATCGATTCCGATTTCCCCAGCGGCGAGGTCGACTGTAATGACTTTGCGACCCTTGAGAAGTACGGAGCAGTTCCTGCCGACTACCTTGGACTGAACGGATACACTGGTATTCAGATCACCCCATCGTACAGCGTCGGTGCAGATTCCATCAGCTACATTCAAACCGCCATTGCAGGCCAAAACTGTGTCAAGAACTCCTTCTGCTCGTACGCCTGCCCCCCTGGCTACCAGAAGTCCCAATGGCCAATCGCCCAAGGAAAAACGGGTCAATCCGTCGGTGGTCTGTACTGCAACAGCAACGGAAAGCTAGAGCTGACCCGACCTGAATACAAGACTCTGTGCCAGAAAGGTGTTGGTGGGGTGGAAGCCACCAGTTCCTTGAAGAAGAATGTCGCTGTCTGCCGTACTGATTATCCGGGGACCGAGAGTGAGACTGTCGGTGTTGATGT